TCACATGGAGACCTTCGCTGACATGGGCAGGTGAAACATGAGCAGGTGATTCAGAGTAGTGATCGTCGGAATGAGAGGAGACCAATGGCAGTCTCTAAGCCGTAGCATCCGAAATCTGGCATCCAATGGATGTCATGGCGCTGCTGCCAACACCTCCGCTGGTTCCAAGCTCTGCACTAGTTGACATGCAGTAGTTTGGAGACGGTTTGCATTGACGCCGTGCCAACGCCAATGCTTGCTTATTTGTCTCACGGCAGAACCGAGACGAGAGGGAGGAGCCTGGAGAAGGGTATCCGCACGCATCTGATTGGTCTTGGTTGTAGTTCGGCTGGTGTCCTGACTTTTGGGAAGAGGCCACTCGAAGCTCGACAGTGCTGTTGACGGTTCAGGGTCGGAGAATGCAGACATAGGTATCAGGCAGACCACATGCGCGACTATGAAATCTGTCAGGTGCTGGTGCCTCGCAGTTCTGAGCCCCTGTCATCGTTTGAGAAGTCTCGCTGCCCCTGAGGCACCAGAGCCGCCAGCATGGTATGCATCGACGCAACACTTGGGACAAGATGCTTCCAGGCCTTATCACTGCATATCACTGCATCAAGCAGGCTGCTGAGAGTAGCTCCTTGTCGACCGTGCCCGCTCTTAGGAGCAGACCTATGCACCACTTTGCACCTGAGCAGTGCGCTGCATGCAAGGTAACTAGGTAACTAGGTACAGCGGGTCGTTTGTATTCCGACCCATGATGATCTGATTGAAGCATCCCGAGATTGATTGCTGTGGACTCCCCTGCTCAGTCCTGGCTTGGGCTGGAGGGAAGCTGCCGGTGCTACGCTGTCCAGTGTGCTTGGGACCAGGTGCGACTCGTGTTGGATTTGAACTTGCTTTGTACTGGTTGTTCTGAAGCCTTTCATCTTCTAACCGCCCATCACAACCCTTGCCAGCCTCGGCCGACACCTTGGCCGGCGTTGTGCTGCTGCTGCACTGGTGCCGCGACGACCCAGGTGCCGTTCCATGCAAGAGTAACCAGCGTTTCAACACGCAGCAGACCTCGAGTGGATCAGCTGTGGTAATTATGATGGTAGTGGATGGATTAGTAAAGCAGCAGCCTGCGGGTTTGGTCAGGCACCCGCCAGACGAGCCAGCAAGGCCGGCATGCCAACATGCCAAAATCTGTCTGTTGCGCTCGCTTTGCTTCACACAGTTGCCCGGTTGTAGGCGGAAGTCACGGTGCGACTAGAAACAGCAGTGCCCCTCTCCTATTGCATTTGCAATTTATCAAGACACGAAGGTAACCCGCTTCTGCGACAATGTGTCCTAAAATCGTGTATCAGAGCAAGTATTGATGGAACACATCTTGCACCACCAACTACGCCAAGCTTACATTACTTCTTAGGATTTCGGATTCTCACGGTAGTGCAAGATTTCTGGATTCAGCAGGCAGTCGGTATAGGTGTCGTGTCACAAGCTGCTGCTGCTGCTGCTGCTGCTGCTGCTGCTGCTGCTGCTGCGACCGGCAATACCGCTGCGATCACTACCACACCTACCACATCACTACAATGATGTCGACTGAAGGCCGTAACCACAGGTGTATGCCGGCATAATTACGACCACAGAAACTTCCATGTTATCAATGTATCTTTGGCAGCCACGGGACTAGGATAAGGACAATGCCGATGAACATGACAAACATTGACAGTCATGACATTCATGACCAGCTGCAGTTCGCTCGTGTTTTGTTTGGGGATGGAAGATCTGGCTGTGCTGCAGGCCCAGCCGGCCGCGTCTCAAGGCGGCAGAGTCGCCGTCTGCAGCAACTCGTGGCAAGGCGGATGGAAGGGGTCAGAAATGGCGTTGTGAAGAAGAGCTTTAGATTTTGAGAAGACGGCCAGACATGTCACAGTAAACATTTAGATGACACTTGCCCTGGCAGACATTCCTTTGCTGCTAGGTGCCTGCAGTGTATACATGTTTATGAGCGACTGCTTTCAGTATCGTGTAGCAGCCAAGAGCAGGCAGAGATAAAATCCAGGGACATAAGCAAAACCCAAGTAAAGCGATAGGGCCCCCCCAAAAGCCAGACACCAGCACTGTGCAAAAACCATGTAAAGCGATAGGCCCCCCCCGCAAGGCGATTTTCTACTTAGCTGTTTACTAATAATTTAGGTAGCTGCTCATATAGATATGTAGATCTGTTGATTGCGATTGCTGTTGACCGCACTTTCGCTGCTCTACCAGGTAGTGGTGCCCATGCGGCGACAGGGCATGGTACGGCCCAAGAAGCCAGCCAAGGAGGTTTGAAACTCGCTGTTTTCGACGGACTTGAATTTGAGGGGTTTATCCACAGGTTTCTGTGCAGGATGATGCTGCCGAGATCAAGACCTGGGCCAGCCAGGCAGGTACATGTTCATGCGGACACGCTGCTTCTTGACGGAATCTTTGGGCGGCTCGTATTTGTTGAATCTCCTCAGACCATCCAACGCACACCCAAAGGTTGGCGGATACAATGCTTTGTAACACTACATAACCCTATATAGTCCTTACGTAAGAAGGACTAATATGTATAATGTGATAATTGGTTTTGCCTTGTAAAAATGCATGAAAGGTTTCACAACCACGGGAGGTTTTATAGATTTTCTAGATTTTATAGATCTATAAAACCTATAAAACCTATAGAATTTTATAGATTGTAGAGGTTTTAAAGGTTTTATAGATTTCATAGATTTTAATAGAATTCCAATTCTCAGATCCGCCGTTTCTATAGGTTTTATAGGTTTTATAGGTCTATAAAATCTATGAAATCTATAAAAACGGCGAATCTGAGAATTGGAATTCTATTAAAATCTATGAAATTTATGAAAGCTATAAAACCTTTAAAATCTCTATTTTTTTAAATAGGTTTTATAGGTTTTATAGATCTATAAAATCTATAGATTTTAAAGGAGCTCTCCCTTTTCTTAACACGGAATAGGCGACCTCCTCTATCCTTTGATAAAGAATAAGAAGCTACACTATCTTTAATAAAGAACAAGCAAGCTCTTCTATTCGTTAACAAGAAATAGGGCACCTATTCTATCTCTTAGCTAAGAATAAAGAGCTTCGGTTTCTGTTAAGAAGGAATAGGAGAGCTCCTCTAAGTCTTAGCAACAAAGAAAAGAATGTTTCTATTTGTAAAGGAGCTCCTCTGTCCGCTGATAAGGAATAGGACAGCTCCTCTATGTTTTGATAAATAGGAGAGCTCCTCCATTTTTGAATAAAGAATACAAGACCTCTCCA